ACATGCAGGTAAACAAATACAATATTATTATTTTTTTAGTATTTCAAGTATTTAGTTTTGATGGTTTTTGTTTCAAATTTGTATTTATTTATTGTAAAGACAAATTCATTCATACACATGCGCACACACACACACACAATAAACAAACTGTGTGTGTTAGCAGGAAACTAGTATGCTAGTCACTTGCAAATCTGGTATGCGTAATTAATATTCAATATTTCAGTGTCATGGCAATGCAAAGGCATTAAACCCAGTAATTTTCACATGCAAGAATACTAGAAAGGGACACAACAGTAACACAACTCAAGTATACAGACACAGGCAAGAAACATTAAAATACACACTGTTTAGTAAGTATAGCCACACAACTTAAGTGTTAGCATGAAATTAGTATGAAAAAGTCTCTTTCTAACCTGGTCTTGTGCAAAGAAATATTCAATACTTCGGTGCCATAGTCATGTAAATCCAAGAATACTAGAAAAGGACTGACAGCGCAAGCTCACTCATTTACAGGATTGACGTCTTTAACACATACCAAAAATTCCTCAAAGTTTCACCACTTAAAGGATAATTGCTACCTTTTACAGCTCAAATAAAACAATTTTGCAACTTCAAATTAATATAAGTACTTCAAAGAAAACGCAAGCTGCATTTTTAAACACTTTCATTGTGAATGCATTGCTGCAATTACTGTGCTTGTATATAGAACCCAGAACATTATACAAAAACACTGACTCAGGAGATCAGATGAAGATGGCTGGAAGGGGATGTGTTTTAAAGAGTGTTTTGGAGGGATGGGGGGAGGTCAGGTCAGTGTTGTTTACAACCTCGCCTGACTGAGCGACAGAGGAGAGGTGTGAAGGAGAGGCGGTGAACGGCAGCCCTGCGCCTTTGAAATGGAGGTGTGTGGGTCAGCAATGCAGAGAATAGCGGCACCTCCGTCCCATAAATCAGTCACATCAAAACCACATCATTACCACATTCTCTGATACGCTGATATCCTGCTTCACATGGGCAAGAAAAACAAGAGCAGGATGGGGAAAAGTCTGAGTCTGAGAGTCTGAGAAAGCATTGTCCCACAATCCTTTGAACCTTCTCTTGTCGCCAACCCACAATGTTACTGGTTTTGGGTAGCTGACATGAAATTTCAAGCAGTGACAGCTGCTGCAATTGATCTAAATGAGATGTAAAATTGTTATGCATGCAGTTTTTGTGACCTCATATTACACGGCTTGCTGGAATACTTGATTCTGATTGGCCAATCACTGCATTCTGAAAATGTTTTTGTATAATGATCGTTAAACTATTAACGTTAAACTAAATTATTAGATTAGGTGGCAATCATTGTCTTAACCATCATCAGACAGTCATTATCACAAAATATTGGGGTTTATTTTGTTTTTAGTGACTGGCTAACAACTTATCCCAAATGACAATGGCGTACTTGTACTTTAAAAATGTATTTGTCACTCCGCAGGTGTGTATAACTTTATATTTTAGAATGTTATGTATTATATTTAGACCTGTTTATTTAATGTTAATTTGGTGCAATTTATTTTGGAAAAAATAATGCATTAAATTTTTTAATGCATTAAAATTTGCTATTATATTATAATAACACTACTATTCAAAGGTTTGGGGTCAGTAAGGCTTTTTTATTCATTTTATATTTAGGGCACATTAAATTGATTAAAGGTGACAGTAAAGACTTTTCCATCGTTGCAGAAGTTTTCAAAAAATTCCAGAAAAATCCAGAACAAATATAT